GATCTGAGCGAGTTGTGGAGTTTGGTCAGCTCGATGGTTCTGGACAGCGACACACGAAGAGTAGGTATGTAGATGCCGACGTTCGTCTGGAGAGGGAGGCGAGGATCCGTGAGTCTAAGTTAGCTCAGGCTGAGATGGCTAGGAGATTGCCACCGATCGTTCCTTCGGAACCGAGTGGTCAGCAGAGCGGTGGGCAGCCCAGCTCATCGATGGCTGGCAGTATGCCGACGAGGATACGTATTCGTCAGTCGTCGGCTCCGATCGTCGAGAGTCCGGTCCACTATTATCAGCAGGACGATGACCAGGACGATGATGAGGGCGAGGAGCCTGACTCTGGAGATGAGCAGACCGCGTCACTTTCTCCTTCCCCTGTACGACCGGTACGACCTGCTCCTCCACGGCAGGCTGGGGGCCGTTTTGCGGGTACTGCATCCTCCTCTGGTAAATATTCTACGTACTTTAATTTTTTATTGTTAGTTACATATACTTTTATTTACTAATAGCATATCATTGATATAGTTAGTCACAATATGTCGTGTATATATCTAACATGTAATTGTCTATTGTCTATTTTGTTAGTTACATAAATTTTTATTTAGTAATATTATTTAGTTATGTAATTAATTTAATAATATTTAAATAAATTCAAAATAAATATTGTGTTGTCTGAGGAACAAAAAATAATATTTAAATAAAATTCAAGATAAATATTGTGTTGTCTGAGGAACAAAAAATTATTTATTCTGTTGGTAAATATCAAAAAATTTATTTCTAACTTACAATACTTTAATGCACACATATAACATAACTTAAAATTTATTTTCATTTCATCTAACAAGGTGATTTTATTTTTACCTATCAAATCTACAATAGGATATGATTTTCCTAAAAATTGTACTATTCATCAAAATTTATATTTTTTCTTTTCAAGTTATTAGTATAATTAAAAATAAAATCACTCACTACTATATTTTGTTTTTTATTTATTAGTATAATTTTTAAATAAAATCAATGACTACTACATTTATATTTGAGCGTTAATGAATAATTAGTTATTTATAGTTTATAAAAAAAAAAAAAATCTTTTAATTAACTAAACAATCAGTCACAATATGGCGTGTATATATCTATACTTATTTGCTGTATTGTAAATGCAGGTTCGAGTAGCAAACTGGCTAAGGGTGAGGAGGCTTGGATCGTTAAATCCCCAGTACCCGGTGGCTCCAGTGACGGGAGCGTTATCCCTAGCTTTCTAGGGCACGTGGCCTCCCGTATGACG